GATTTTCTTTTTTTATTAATTTTTTTTTATTGGTTTTTCAGTTGAATTATACTTAAAGTTCAGGGAAATCAACTGTTAAAAACATACTGTTCACATTTTTCTTTCAATAAATGGATGTTTTCAAAGTAAATATATAATCGTTTTTAATAATGGTGATATCAATTATTGACCCAAATAATCGTGATTATGATTTTTGCCATAGCCCTATTTTAAATAGTTAATTTTATGACTATTGAAAAGCCATTTTGAGGATATTGACCATACATGAACACTGCAAACAAAACAGCAACAGAATGACAATGTTTGCCTGGCTTGTGCAAAACAAGTGAGCACAACAAGCTGATTACAGATATGTGAAGCTGTTCCCTGTGACATTTACTAAAGGTAAGACATTCTCAACAAGCCCAGGCGAGTCAAGCTAAGTTCGACCGTGGGTAGAATGCTACTCGACCAAAGCCTTTCATCCACCCATTGACACACAAATACACACACAAGTGGTGGAGGAGCACTCGACCCCTGAACGCATCAGAGGACTGTGGTCTGTATCCGCACAAATGTGAATCTTCGTCTCGATAAATAACAGCTGAATACAAAGTTGTTGCTTTTCTCCCCCCCCATGAGGCAAGTCTCCGCTGAACAAAAATAACAAGTTAGAAAAAGTGTTAAATAACAGGAACAAGTGAATGTCAGAGCACCTGTTTGTGGCCTGAGGACTTCTCGCTGCTCGCAGGTGGATCCTCCTCATCTGAGCTCGACTGAGTTTCATTCTGTGGAAACAAGACAGAAATAGTTATTTTAAGAAAATCACATGAAAGAAGAAGACGGTACTCTCAAAGATAAAAGAAAGCACTACTAAACGATTCCAATCCAAAATGTCCCTACTTTGTTTGCAGCTCTAAAAGGATTCAGCTTCTCCATGGCCCCAGCAAATTTACTCTGATTATGAAACAAAACACAAAGATAGAGAAAAATAAACATAAAATAAAATAAGAACCACATCCAGTGAATTGTTGATAAAAAATTACAAATTAAACATTGAAAATTCTTACAAACCTGTTTGTGACTGGGCTGGCTCTCTTCATTGTCCAACATCTCCTCACTGTCAGAGTCGGATTCCTTCTCCTGCAGATTGAGCAAGTTTATATAATATATAACTCAATATAAACAATGGTAGTATTAGTGCGATTGTAACCAGCATCACATCGTATGGGGATTCATTGAAATTAAAAACAGATTTATAGTATTCTTAAAGGTCCCATGTCATGCTTTTCTGATTATTACCCGTCCCCTTGTGTGTTATGAAGGTTTTTCTGCATGTAAATGGTCTGCAGAGTCAAAACCCTCAAAGTACACCCTGTAGGGAGTAAAACTCTAACACAGGAAAGACATGTCTGTCTATGCTGCCCCAGAACGCCTCGTTGGACATTTCTCTTTTTCCATTGTTTTCTTCCTGGGTACAGTGACGTGCCCATACCCAAATGGATCCATTGGTCTAAATAGACCAATCCGTGGAGCCGTTACGTCTGTGGGTGGATGGACACACACACACACACACACACACACATCTCCTCCCTGATACGGCAGGACGCGGCGAGGTGAGCACAGGCTGCGGGTGTGTGTGTTTCGGGCTGGTTTGGGGCTAGGTCTCGNCTCTCTCCACACACACTCACTCAATCTTTTCTCAGCTGCAGCTCCGCCGATATCTCCTCCCTGATAAGGCGAGGCTGTGAGTCGGTGTGTGAGCACAGGCTGCGGGTGTGTGTGTGTGTGTGTGTGTGTGTGTGTGTGTGTGTGTGTGTGTGTGTGTGTGTGTGTGTGTGT